CATCTACATATTGGATCACTTGAGGGTGAGTACAATTTCAGCATATTATTCCTTTAAACTACATCATGATTGGTAGTTTGATACTACTTTTATACAATATTTAATATACAATAGTTAATATTTGAAGTTAATAGCAAATGTTAAATAACACACGAACAAGAGCTTTGAGTGATGAACAAAGGTGCTACATGTTTCATCAGCTCTGACATGTGAAAGACAAGGTAGATTTCTATCTGCAAAGAGGTATTGCACATGAATGATTGTTATGATTCTTTTAACCTCCCTCACTGTCTTTGTCCACGCAACACGCTATTAACTGATGTTTCTGTGTAATTACTCTGTCTGTGTGTTTTACAAACACGCAGACACTCACAAAAGAGGCTGGTATGTTTTCAAAGAAGCTAAGCGGCATGTCTGCAATAATTTAAATATTTGTAATCAAAACAGAAAACTCTCACTGACTGTTTTGGGTATACACAACAAAGCCTCGCCAATCAAAATAGTGTTGCGAAAGCACAATGTCAAAAGCAATTTACTTTCGAAAGATCGATGTAACCGCTGATGAGCATCTTCGGTTTAGCTCATGTATTTTGGATCGGCAACAGTCATTGTGCATTAATTAGAGCTCCTAACACTGATTCACAAAAACCAATCAATTACCCTTCTAGACTTGACTGGCAGTACCCTATAATTGGGTGGCTGCTTTCCTTTTCTCAAGTGCCCCGCAGCCAATCGGTGCAGACCAAACAGGTGGCAGCAGAGGAAACAAGCTCTTCCAGTCCATAAAACTGGCTAACTAGCTCCTGAAAGTTGCCAGCCTGCAATTATCATATCATTTGTGTTGTAAATCACACTGCTTCTTGTCATAGTATCATCACATGCAGCACTCACAACCCCCCCCACCACCAAAAAATGTTTGGGGAAAAAAAAGAGTAAACATATTTCAGGCCATTTTCAAAAAAGATCGTTTCATCGCAAATATACCTAAGTAGCTGTGAAAACTGTTCATAAATCATAAATATGTGTGACATTGTCCCTCCCTACTGTACTGCGTTGCACAATAGACTCAAACGCAGCTCGTATGTACTTCCTCCTTCTCAAGTCCAAACATCCCCAATTCCAGCTTACCCACCCACATACCAAATTATTATCCTGTCATCTAGACACAAGGATGTACGACATTTTTATAATGCCTTATGTCCATCATATCTTAAATAATTGGAAAAGTAATAATCCTTCCATCTGGATTTTGTTTTCCATTGGCTGTTATAATCATGACAACCCATAGACTAATACGTTGTTTAATTTAGTCATTTGTGCAGTTAAAACAGTCTCGCTGAGGTACTGTATGTTCTCACCCTCTAAACACATGGTAATCGCTCAGCTGCAGTTGATACAGCCACAAATGAGGCAAATTAGTCACTGGTGTAAAAAATAAAAAGTTGAGAAAACTTAAAGGGGTGGTCCTATTATGCGTTTTCACTTTTTCAACTTTAGTTAGTCTGTAATGTTGCTGTTTGAGCATAAAGAAGATCTGCAAAGTTACAAAGCTCAAAGTCCACTTCAAAAGGAGATATTTTATTTAACTTTTCAAAAACTACAACGAACGACTCGTTTGGACCACAACGCATATTTTCCGGGATTTGTGATATCACAAAGATTGACGAATGGGACGAGACCTGGTTGAGCTGCACTAGAGAAGGCAACGAGTGTTATCACTGTGTCGGAGACACGCTAGCTTTCCCAAGGCAGACGATCTTAGAGTGGTTACAATCATCCGGGTTTAAATCGCGCTCAAATTGATTTGATTTTGATGCAATATTTACACTGAAGCTCGCAGGCGGCTATGGTAAGGGCGTGACATTTCCCGACCAGGCACCGAGTGCTGCCAATCACAACACACACTGGCCCAGCTAACCCGATCACAACACACACTGGCCCAGCTAACCGATCACAGCACACACTGGCCCAGCTAACCCATCACAGCACACACTGGCCCAGCTAACCCATCTCAGCACATTTCGTATTTCAGAAGGCTGGCCTTCATTTGATTCAGGAACTATTCGAGCCGTTCATGCCAGACTGGGGAGGGAGGTGTTGTAATAATGTAAAATATGTGAAAAATAATGTGTTTTTCGACAACCTAGTATGAGAGCCTTTTCTAGTACACCCCCAAAACAAAATCAAGACTTTGTAAAAGAGCATAATAGGACCACTTTAAAGGTTTAAGGCAACCAGCTTCAGCTGATTTTTGAGTTTTCTCAACTTTTTGTTGTATAAACTGAAAACAAGAAGTTGAGAAAACTAAAAAATCTGCTAAAATCTGAGAAAAGTTTTCTCAACTTTTTATTTTTACAGTATAGATAAACAACTAGATAAGTTTTTTTTTTAACCAACGGAGATCATGATTTATATAAAACACCAACTTGTAAAAAAAATTGTCTTAAAAATAAATAACATATTAAGTAAATGACCATCAATTTTTATCTTCCACACTGAAAAAAGGCTGTAGAATGAGTTTTCACTCAGAAATCGCTGTACATACACAAACATAGTAACACTGAATTAAATATGACATTTTAAAGCAGAAAAACATAAACATACTCCAGTAATCTTTGTTTTATTCATGACGTTGAAAACTGTTATTGTTATAAATAACAATATAAATGAATTATATGTGAAATTTTGAAATATTAAAATTGAAATAGTATTTTGTTGTTGTTGTAAAATGTACAATAATCGTTGTTTTATTTTGAAAAACATTTTTTTTACAGTATATGAATTATAAAAGTTATCCAAATTAATGGACGTGCTGCAAATTCATTAAATATACCTATACCTGCTGTATATTTATTTCTCAAATTTATTATTTTAGTAATTGCACTCAATGACCAATTTTGCATTCAAAATTAATAGGAAAGAGAATTAAACACAATGACCAAAGTTTCAACAATGCATGTTTTTTCAAAGTTGTAAATAAAATTTAAAAAAATTATTGGATTATATTTTATAAGAAATTACTATTTCAATCTCCATACCTCAAAATTTCATGTTTAATTCAATGCATTACTTGCCATTTCTTTCTAATTGTAAAAATGTGCAAGCAATTTCTGAGTGAAAATTGTTTCTAGAAGACAAAGACCAATTATATACGAAAAGAACTGAGTTATCTCTATCATGGACAGACTCGGTTTGCAGGAGAAATAAGCAGCAGCACTAGTTTTGATGAACTCGATGAAGCCAAATCGGGTGGCCCACTCCACGCTTGGCATCGGTCCAGATCAAATTACTGTAAATCAGATGAATTATTTCACTTAACATAGTTGGGAAACATCACAGACTGCTCTCTACACCTACATGCTTTCAACCATCTGTTCTTTTGTTTACACCTCTTCATATCCATGGCAACAACATGGGGGCAGGTAGCTAGTCGGAAATATTTGTAAGTAACATAGCCCTCATAAGATTAATGAGCGTTTGTGTGCTTTGACACAGAGGAATATTCTGAGACAGAATCGCTTATATAATATACAGTGACTCCAGCATATTAGTCAGTCTAAGCTATTTTACACTTCATTTCTTCATGCACTGGGTATTAGGCCATCTGTTGCATCATATCTGTGTTGAAATCACTCTTGCTGTCTTCAAAGTTATCTCAAGCTACTATTTATCATCATGTGTTTTACAGCGATAACGTCCTGTCTATGCCATCATTACTCATGCAGACAGAGAGTGGTCATTTTGCATACACAAACACTGTGACTTCGCTGGTTACGTTGCATTAGTGAAGTTTGACTATACCCACACAGAATTTATTACGGGGTCATTCACAATCATTCATTGTTTCATTTCATTTCGGTACATAGAACTAAATACCTGGCTGTCTGAAACATAATAGGTATGATAGAAACAGCCTTTGTTTACACTAGAATGTTCAAGCCAGTGATGTTTTTCATGTAGTGGGTGTTAAGAGTTTAAATTAAGCTTATTATATCTGTTTGAAGTGTTGCGGCGTATGCTTTTTATCCTGTGTCTTTCAGAAGTGTTGTTTCCTGGGGACTTTTCCAGTAATTAAAGAGAATATGAATAGATTGTTCTTAAATTATCTTTCACAGTTTATAGGCATTGCGATTGATAATGAGGCTTGTATTAACGTCTGTGTGTACCGAGGTGATGCAGAGAAGCAAATTTAATTCATTTCTGTCACTCTGGGCCTTAAGGATTAGCAGGTGTAAATTACAGCACATAAAGGTGACATGGATGCATTTCCAGCTGACTGAAATATACGTATATGTACATTTAAATGAGCAAGCAGAGAAGTTACATGATCAGATGCACGTAAGTGAACAGTTTGCATGCTACAAGACACGCATATTAAATCGAAAAAACTTCAGAAACATATTCAGAAGTGACGGTGATGGTGTTTGATACTGTACTGTTTTGCTCCAGTTTCGGCGTGACGCTGACTGTTTACACATGGAAATCCAAAGGTGGAGATGTTTGTGTTCACGTTCAAGCACTTATATGTTGTGTGAGCATGTAAATGCACTATTATTGGGAGTATTTCTGAGTAACGATACCCGCCTGCTTTATGTAAGCCGTGGTTGCTCAGGAATGCAAAAGCAACTTATATTAAAACAAAAACACTTCTAAATAAAGCTCATGCACTAATCAAAACCATTCAATGTAACATAATAGTAATAAGAAACAATAATGGTAACAGTAATAAATAATTTCCAAACAGACATTAAGTTAACGTTTTATTATCTAATAGTCTGCAGAAAAAAAGTTAAACGAACAGCTCAGGAATGCAAAAGCAACTTATATTAAAACAAAAACACTTCTAAATAAAGCTCATGCACTAATCAAATCCATTCAATGTAACATAATAGTAATAAGAACCAATAATGGAACAAAGGAATAAATAATTTCCAAACAGACATTAAGTTAACGTTTTATTATCTAATAGTCTGCAGAAAAAAAGTTAAACGAACGCATAACAAAAAATGCCTGGGAACAGATGGGATTACAGTGCTTTTCACCTTAAAGGAAACCCAATAAAGAAACAATCTGCTATGAAGTGCTACAAACCATTCTGGGTCTTGGAGGTTAGATTCTATCTATTTTAATTGAGAGCAAAAAAAGAAAGAAATTCAAGCATTTTCTAAGCTTCTCTAGTTCACTGATATTTGACATCAGTTCAAGAGCCATTAAAAAAAAGGAAAGAAAAATCATTCTCACGCAATACAAATTTTTTGTAAGCTTTAACCCGGATGTAAAACGCTAAGTAACATTTTGGGTTTGGAGCTCAAATGCATAGAAAAGTCAAATAAATAGAACCATTTCAGAAGTTAAACTGCACTAGTGATTTTCTAGAAAGACCGTGAGGGTATTTCACCACTTTAAATTTGCCCGGTTCATAAAATAATGACATTTTGTCACATACAAACATCCAGTTTTTCAGAAGTACATCTATGAGTGATATTTGATTCACACACTGGATCGACCTATTGTCGTTAAGACTGTGGCCGTTGAATGTCTAAAGCAATTTAACACTACAAACATTTATCAATCTATTCATTAAGGTGGTTTTATTACCTTTGCTGTCCGATATACTACTTTATAATGGAAATGTTCTGACTGATGACAAAGGAGCAAGAGAGAAGTGTAACAAAAGAAAGCATACAAAAAGTCTTCATTGCTCTGAGATGGAACGCGATCCAAAACGAAGAGGTCCATGTGTATTGCATACAGTCGAGTCTTTGTTCAGCTGTGCACGATCAGAAGTCAGCGGCAGCTGAATGTGACTCAGTTCCTTAGTTTACAAGCCGAGTTCAATTCATGACGAAGTCTGAAGAATGTCTTGCTTTTTTCTGTGGCAGGGATCCATCAGCATGACGGATGTTTATTAACCGTGTGATATCAGTCTTCTGAAATGACGTCGATGTCCTCAGAGCTGCCCTGCTGAGTGGCCACCCTCCAGCGGCTGACGTGCTGAGTACCTTTCCTCTTCTGCTGCGAGTCCGGTGACTCTTCCTCCAGCTTCTGTCTCTTGTGTTTGGTCCTTCTGTTCTGGAACCAGACTTTCACCTTAACAAGAATGACAAAGAGAGGCCATTTTAATACATCAGCTTAATTAGCAATATTTTTTGAAATGTGTGTTTTTAGTCTTTTCTGATTATAAAAAGATGATTTTTGATGAAAAGCTGACGTGCTGAGTACCTTTCCTCTTCTGCTGCGAGTCCGGTGACTCTTCCTCCAGCTTCTGTCTCTTGTGTTTGGTCCTTCTGTTCTGGAACCAGACTTTCACCTTAACAAGAATGACAAAGAGAGGCCATTTTAATACATCAGCTTAATTAGCAATATTTTTTGAAATGTGTGTTTTTAGTCTTTTCTGATTATAAAAAGATGCAATCCTGTCCTAGGCCTATGCCTGATGAAGGTCAGTGGACCAAAACGTTGCTTGTGATAATAAACTTCAATATTTAGCAAGTTTAGGTAGTGTGCGGGATTGCATCTCTTAAGTCTTAAGTCGCTGGGGTATATTTGTAGCGATAGCCAAAAATACATATGGGTCAAAATGATTGATTTTTCTTTTATGCCAAAAATCCTTAGGATATTAAGTAAAGATCATGTTCCATGAAGATAGTTTGTACATTTCCTGCCGTAAATATATCAAAACTTGTAGATGTAAAAACAAAATAGCTCATTTAAAAGATTCACAGCAGGTGTATCTGAAAGTCTGAAACTACTAGTGAAGATTCTTTACAGTTTTGTAATTAAATAAAAATAATTACAGATTACATTATCAGCATGAAAATGTGAATGTATGATTTTTCTTTTATGCCAAAAATCCTTAGGATATTAAGTAAAGATCATGTTCCATGAAGATAGTTTGTACATTTCCTGCCGTAAATATATCAAAACTTGTAGATGTAAAAACAAAATAGCTCATTTAAAAGATTCACAGCAGGTGTATCTGAAAGTCTGAAACTACTAGTGAAGATTCTTTACAGTTTTGTAATTAAGAAGATTCTTTACAGGATTACATTATCAGCATGAAAATGTGAATGTAATGTGAAATTATAAATTATTTTTTAAATTGAAAAATGTAGCAAAATATAGATAAAACAGTATTTAAAAAAACATCCAAAATAAAAGTAGCTGTTGTTGTTAGATTTCTTTAAAGAAAGATTTTTTTTTATTTAAAAAAATTGCCCACTTCCTAATTAACACGTACTCTTTCTTTTTATAAAGAAAATGTTACATTTAATTAATTTAACGTTTTGATTTAAAAGATTCACAGCAGGTGTCTAAAAGTCTAAAACCACCAGTGCAGAATCTGACATACTCCTAATTTTATGTCATAACATTTATTTTTTTTTTTTTAATTTTCCATTCATTTCCAGGTTCAGATTTTAAATCCCAGGTTTTCAAAAGTGCCTCAGACTTTTGGACCCCAGGTATTGCTCAAGCCTAACAATCCTACACAAATATGTATGTACAGACGATTGTGAAAATAGCCAATTATTGAGTGTTGTATACATGCTTTGGAATTTATATGGCCTATCCCAAGGCAAGGAATGATGAATTACTTCCGTCCTGTGAGGAAACTAGATGAGTAAATGTGTGTTCACGTCCCGTGTGTGTGTGTGTATGTGTGGTGGAATGCAGCCGTGTTCGCCGGAGGGATCGACCCTGACGCCTCTGCCTGCTTACCTGTGTCTCTGTCAGGCACAGCCCGTTGGCTAACTGCTTCCGCTCGGCTCCCACCACGTAATGGTTCTTCTCAAAGGCACGTTCCAGCCGGAGCAGCTGCGAGGGGGAGAAGGCCGTGCGGATGCGCTTGGGCTTGCGAGAGAAAGGTCCGTGTAGCAGCAGGTTTTCCGGGCTACTGTCGTCACCTGGAGACAAGAAATAAAGAGTTCTTGTTAATTAGGAAGTCGACAATTTTATCGTTGTATTTTAAACGAATAAATTAAAATCTAAAACTTTATTTTAAAATAATCTAAAGAAATCCTAAAAAAAATAGCTAAAGTATTAGTAATAGTAAAAAGTAAAGAGTGCAAGTTAATTAGGTATTGGAATATTTCATAGTGTGTTTTTAAATAAATAAATACAAATCTAAAAATGTCTTTAAAAAATAAAAATACAAAATAGAGAAATAAAGAGAGCATGTTAATTAGGAAGTAGACAATTTTATAGGGATTTTGAATAAATAAATAAAAATGTAAGGCGTTCTTTAAAAAAAAAAGAGAGAGAGAGAAATAAAGAGTACGCGTTAATTGGGATGTGTACAATTTTATAGTGGGATTTTAAATAAATAAAAATCTAAAAATTAAAAATAGAGAAATAAAGAGTACATGTTGGAAGTGGAAAATTTTATAGTGGAATTTTAAATAAATAAATAAATAAATAATCATTTAAAATGTACTTTACAAAAAATACTTAAAAACTGAAAATATAATATAAAAACTCTAAAAAAAATTTTTTTTTGAGAAATCAATTATATGGAATAATTAGGAAGTGGGTTTTAAAAAAAACTAAAATAAAAATCTAAAATGTAAAAAACAAAATCTACAAAACAAAAGATTTTTATTTGTGAATTAAGTGTCAAAATACGTTTTTTGTGTTACATTTTAGTAACCTTCTGCTGACATCACAATGACATCATTGTATTGCTTTTGAAAAGTAACTATTTGAATTCCACACGTGTATTCATAAAATTCTTTTAGAGTTAATTCGAATATTAAAATATCTGTCTTACGGCAACCATTACATTGACACGTCTTGGTTTAGCAGATGTATTATTATCCAAAGACTCTGTATGCTTTTATACAAAATAAGTGCTTTACATAGGCACAGCATTGCAGACATTAGGTGCAGGATTGCATGTCTTAATTGAGCCACATGAGCCGATTTGAATAATTCCAGGTCTGTTCCAGACACGGCTGATGTAAAGTGTGTTCACACCACATCATTCATACCAACCCAACGTCTCCGTGCATTCAGAGACGAGTCTTTAACCTTCGGCCCTCGTAATGTGGCATTATCCTGATTTTCATACAAATGCAAGGCTTTGAAATATTGCTGCTAAAACATAAATAGACATCCGTGGCTGAAAAGATGTAAAGCAATCGTGATGAATATGTTAATTGTCAGTTAAGCAAATCTAAATCCCTTACATTTGGGTTGATTATATTCAACATGAGGGAATAGTAAAATTTAGCCTCCATCAGCGTCAGGGCAAACGTGATCTTCGCGTGACCCCAGACAACATCTGGAGGGCAGAGTCCCAATGCCGTTTATTGCAAACACACAAAGAGAGAAAAACATTTTTCATAAACAAATGGATGTGTAATTTACGTGACCACTTTAGTGTTTGGAGAGCTATGCTTGAAAAAATCTTCAGAAAGATGATGACCGCAATCACGTATAAACAAAATATTCTCGCGGAGCGGTTACTGGGAGGATTGTGAAGCGCGCAGAAGTGACAGACCATGATCTTTTGTCAATGAAAAAATAACCAAAATGTTCCAACGTTCGCATCAGGTGTGCAACCGCAAATGTACATCGGTAACATGCAAACGTCTCAAAAAGATGTTTGCTTCAATAACGACTGTTTCGGAGCATCGGCTGAATCATGAATGCGGTTGGTAGGCCACAAAGACCGTCAACTGCAATTGCTAGAAGTATATTAACATATCAAATGGAAGTTTTTAAATATATTCAGTCATCCAGAAATACTTTCACAATTCCAAAGGGCGACTAAATCCTTTAACCACAAATTTAGATAAACTAATTTAACCCAAATCCAAATAGTAAGCCATAAGAGTTACGTTTACACAGAAGCCATTCAATTTTAACACTGATCATCAAAGAACGCACAGTGATGTACCAATTCTGAGCACAAAAGCTCACTAATGGCATCACCAGAAGATGAAAAGCGGATTAGCATGAGGCTGTTCAGACTTTAAGTCTCTTTAAAAACTCCGAAACCAACCCTTTATCTGCAGAGAATAGCTTTGAACTGACTCCTTTCAGAGGAGCGTTAAGCCATCACACAGAAGCAACTTCAACTCTCAGCCTCAAACACCGCAACTCCTGCGTCGTCTACACACATCCCAAAGCACAAAAAACACATTTTTGTCCATTCGCGACATATAGGGCGTTTGTTTCCACGCACAGAACGACGCAGCCCTTCATTAGCAGAGGCTTCCCAAAGGTTCTAATAATGTACAACCTTTACTTCTATTTTACTAAAAGGTGCATATTTTCTGTCACTGCACTGTCATTGACGACTGCTTTCAGCTGGCGTGCTGAAAACGCTTTGAACACCACAGGCAAAAACAATGGAGACACCTCCGTGCAAAAATGAGGGGAGCCGGGTGCAAGAATGTAAATAATGAGTTCTCGGCGGTTTGAAGGTGTTGAAAAGCCCTCCTTAAACCTTCCTCAAGGTGCGCTGAGCGCCAACCAACCGAAACTGAGCTTGGTGGCAACTTTTCGAAACTTTCGCATCAAAGTGTACGCTCGGCGCTCTCGGTCTGGCATCATCAGCATGTGTGGCATCACCTCGGTGTCTCTCTCGCTCTCTCTCTCTCTCTCTCTAGAGGTGGTGGATCAGACTGGCAGGCCAGAACACTGACTGAGACTCGGGCCTCCTGAAGAGCTGGGAGACCCTCCGGGGCTTTGGACTCAAACACACACTGGCCTATCCACGGCAAGAAAGCCCCCAACATGAGGAAAAGGGAACCAGATGGCACCCAGATCAGCTTTACTATCATTCCCTTGGCACAAACAAGCTTGGTCTTGTCAGTGCTGTTCTCATTAGAGGCAGGGAGAAGGGTGGCCTATAGTGGGAAAGAAAGAGACTGGACCCTTTGGTCTCTCCTACAGAATGTGTGTTCCCTGTGACGCTGCCTCCCTCCCAATTTTTCAATATATATATATATATATATATATATATATATATATATATATTACATTATGTTATGGTATGAAGCCTTGAAGCCCTGGTATGAAATTTTTTTTATCAAACTCATCTCAAAATATTATTTTTCAAAATTCTGAAGAAAATTACGTAAAATTATATTATAATATGTATAATACGTAAACACTGTTACTGTTACTATAGCCTATATATGTCTATTCACACACACACACACACACACACACATACATATACATGTATATATATATATATATATATATATATACCAAGTTCAATTACTCTTTTTGAAGAACATGATTATCAAACCTATCAAATTATATTTTACTTTTAATAGGACTGTTACTGTTACTATAGCCTATATATGTCTATTCACACACACACACACACACACACACATACATATACATGTATATATATATATATATACCAAGTTCAATTACTCTTTTTGAAGAACATGATTATCAAACCTATCAAATAATATTTTACAATTTGATTTTTAATAGGAATACAAATGTTTTCAACAAACTTTTAAGAAACAAATTCATCTCAATAATCCTTTTTTCATAATTTTTTCATCTTTTCAAAATATAGTTATTATTAAGCCTATATAATTATATATAGCGCATATATATAGTTCTTAACTGATATGATCTGCTTTTATATTATTACATTGGTACATTATTTTATTACATTATGTGTTGGAATGAAGCCTCTAAAAATGAAAATCAGCAGCGTTAAGAGTCTGCTGATGACGGTGTTTATACCTCTGGAAGATTTGTATTGTAACCTGATCGCACACAAATCTCAGAAAAGTGCATCAGTGTGGCACTGTCACAGTCTGTGAAACGTACCCATAACACAGACCCCTGCTCATGTACAACAGCAGGCTGCTCTGAGATCCTGTTTACCTTGCCCCGCATGACGGATCCGAGGACATGGACACATCTCTTTTCCCATTCAGGAAGCGGCAGAGTTAAAACCCATGGACACATTAGGCCATCCTTTCCCACCCAATCCCCACGGCTGCATTTAGCCGTGTCTAAACAGTAGTTTTCTAGGTTATTGGACACCATCAGTGAGTGGATCGGCTCTGTGTGTAAACAAAGAGGCTCTATCTGAACCCCGGATCTGAGTAATAGTGACAACAACCTCTGACTTCCACCAATTACCTGAGCACTGCCCCCGAGGACTGTGGAGCAGCCCAGGACCCTCACAGACCGGCCAGAGCTACTGATAGCTGCTTTAACAAATTGCCTGGTAAATAGGACCTCCCAGTATCGATTACACTTTTTAAGGACTCTGTAAACCGGACTATCAAATCTATCATATACTACAATTTAATTTTTAACAATAACATTTTTTTTTTTTTTAAGAAGTTTGAAGAAACAATCTCATCTCAAACAATAATCTCAGTGAGATGGTGATACATTTGCTAAATTTAAATCAAATTAATAACTAAGCTCTTAAAAGAACATTTCAAGGCAGATCTTCTACAGTTACCTAATAAATCCATAAAAGTAAGTGCTTGTGCAAATAATTGCTTAAAAAGCTAACATGTGTCCTTAACAGTATTATAAATGTTTGCATTTTATTATAGTATAATTTTAAGAGTTGTAAATGTTTATGAGCCTTATAATAACAAACATACAAGAGAGTAGCTGCATGCAGCAAATTGAGCTCATACCAATTTCCACATGTAATAGTAATTCATTTTTCTCCCCTCAAAAAAAATTAAATTATCATAATAATTTATGTATATCCAACTTTTAAAAAACGACGTAGAAATACAGTGCATAACAGTACAACGTGGTCCTTCGTTAGCTTTTATATATAAAAATTAGATCAGATGTTTACACGATTCTATTAAATGTAATATTTTTAACTAAAATAATCCTGAAAGGCTGAACTAAACGCTAAATTAATTAAAGGCGGTACATTTATGCCATCTGTATTATCAATTTATGCTTAAAAATTAATACAACTGCGATAATGTTTTAATAATCAGTTATTTATTATAATAATATTGTACATTGAGAATACTGAGAATAATTCAAACCGAACAAAAACGATTTGTATCGAGCAATTATGTCCTTCTTTTATAATTTTGCCTAAATATGTAATCAAAATAAAGCAGCGGTCTTTCGTAATCGAACGATTATTATTTTGCAAGTCGTGTTTATTATAAAAAAAAAAGCGCTTCAATTAATTTAGTCATTTTTTTAATAACAGAAATCTCTACTGCACGGTGTAATTTTCTCATGATTTTGAATATTTTCGATCAAATCGATAAAAGTATTCAGGTCAACGTTAATAAAGGACAATGTTAAGGCAGGACTTCTCCCGTGCGCATCACTATATAGCTATAATATATATTTTTTTAAATAATAGGCCTATTTAAATAAAACATTGAAATCAATACAGGCCTCTGAAGTGCTGAGAACATCGACTACCTCATATAGGCGACTTCAAATCTGCCCATTTTTGCTGCTTTTTTTTCTCCAAGCCGTTTTAACTTCATATGCCTGCATGCACTGTTTTCAATATTTCGCTATTTTCTCTGCATCCTCGCCGGCAGCATAATTGAAAACAGACCCTCACCTTGGAATCGATGTCCCAGGTATCTGTTCCTCAGCACCCACGGGTAGAAGTTCAAGGTGTCCCTCTGGTGAGGGCTGAAGAAGGGCTGTGTGGGGATCTGGAGGTGCCGCAGAGACAGGCCGGAGTTGCTGGAGTGAGTGGCCGGATCTGTGAACATCATCTCTGGGCTGCTGCTGTACAGTGTCCTGCCGGAGTTCTGGAAGCAGCTCCCAAAGGGAGAAGGATGGATGGATTCAGTAAACCTCAGAGCAGTGGGTCTGATGGGCTCATCCGCGGCGGCACTTGAGGGGCTGGAGTCTTTACCAACGAGAGATTCAATGGTGAAGCACTTCTTATTGTGCTGGAACATTGTGAGGGCTTATAAAAAAAATACTCAAGTCAATTAAATCAAATAAAACACTAAGTTAACAAGTATGTCACTCTGAAACCGATGCACGTTTAAAAAAAGTCAAAAAGATGATATTTATATAGTCCATCTACAATCCATAACTTCATTCGTTTCCTTTGGTTCCTTCAATTTCGTGGGTTGCAATACACTTCCAATAGCTGCAAATAGGCGCGTGAGTTCTGTTCAAATGAATTCAGATCTCATCTCATGCGTGTCCTTGTCAGAGCAAAACTCGCGCACCGTCAGCTGTGTCATCTGAAGCAGGCATCAGCTCCTCCGATGCAGATCGCTGCGAGCTCTGATGATCGATGATCTGTCAGATTGTGCGCTGAGGATCGTCATGAGCCAACTTCAATACCTGCGCGCGGAGCTCCGACGGCGAGGTGCGGTGCGGTGCGGTGCGCATGCGCAGAGCAAGAAATTCAGAAAGTTCAACAGCGAAACACAAGACCTAAATTAAAAACCTCAGAACTGAATCTTTCTGATGTCGTGATCAGGTCGTTGGTTATGCGGTGCATTAGGCTACAATGTCTTTAATTTGCATTATGATTGCTATTTTTTATTTTTCTTTCTTGGCTTGCTTTTTTTTTTTTTTTGCGAAATAGGCTGAACACGTGAAAGGATTTCATAAAATGTCTTCTTTTAGGCTACACTATAGGCTAGTGTAAAAGAAAGCACATTTACTATCTCTGAACGGTCGCATAATTCTGATATATAGGCCTATGCCTAGTGTTTTTTTTGCGTTCATAATTATTCACACACTGTAAAATGTTTTGTATGTATAAAATAATGTTTTATTTTATTATATTAGGCCTAATTATATTTAATAATTAAAAATATTCTGAAAGTGTTTATACGATAAAGCACATTCGAATGGTCTTTTATATATTTTGTGGTGTAGCCTATTAAAATAAAAGCGCTAACATTGTCAAAGCAAGAATTAAAGCCTACAAATGAGGAAATTCGCTTTAGTAATAAATGCCATTATTACTATCATAGTTCTATTATTAACCCTTATTGCTGCTGTTGTTGTATCAAATGATTATTATCTTCTCCATAAGAAATATCCTTTAAGGATGTTCCTTACAACAAGTGAAGATAATAACAGAGAGAAAGAAATTGAAATTGTGTGATCATGAAGAACTTTCACTTGTCAGTGAAATCTTAAACTGACACATCCAGCACTCATTTCTATTTTATAGATAGAAAGAGAACTCAGGAATCTGAACTCGGTTTGGGAGTTTCTGAAGGTGTCTTAATGAAGCAGACACAGATCAAGGCAAGCGGGCATTGATCTCACGACTTGACATGTCTGGAGTGCCTCTCCTTGTCTCATTTGTCAGTTACAAACGCAACAGTACAACGTGGGTCCTTCGTTAGCTTTTATATATAAAAATTAGATCAGATGTTTACACGATTCTATTAAATGTAACATTTTTAACTAAAATAATCCTGAAAGGCTGAACTAAACGCTAAATTAATTAAAGGCGGTACATTTATGCCATCTGTATTATCAATTTATGCTTAAAAATTAATACAACTGCGATAATGTTTTAATAATCAGTTATTTATTATAATAATATTGTACATTGAAAATACTGAGAATAATTCAAACCGAACAAAAACGATTTGTATCGAGCAATTATGTCCTTCTTTTATAATACAGCCCTCTTGTGCCTCCCTTCTCAGTCCCTCTGCATATAATTAATAGCTTTCTCTGGCCAATTTAGTCCCCTTTGCCTCAAATACAAATGGCCATTAACATCTATTAATTTAGCCTCTGGCAATTGATTGCAGATTGTGCAGAGCTGAAAGGCTATAACAGTTGGAGTTTTTGTAAGCACTCTGGGTGTGAAGGCGAGTTAAAATGTGATTATTGTTCCCCTGCCTGGAACTAACTGGTGTTAAACCCTCTTTGAAGATTGGTTATTTTACTAGTCATTAGCTGACTCAGAGAGCCTAAATTAAATAGACGACCATCAATAGCTATTGACTTGAGGAACATGATCAAAAATAGCTAGCACGTTCGTTAATTCAGCTATTCACGATGAAAAATGTACAGGACAAAGATACACCACAAAAAGGCTTAATTAAACTGTCTAATTAAAAAACTTCTTAAATTACGTACAGAACTCAGATCTATTAGTACACTCTAAAAATGCTGGGTTAAATACAACCCAGTGCTGGGTAAAATAGGGACAAACCCAGCAATTGATTTGTTTTGACCCAGCGGTTGGGTTAAACATTTAACCCAACCTTCTGGGTAGTAACCCAGCCGCTGGGTCAAAACAACCCAATTGCTGGGTTTGTCCCTATTTTACCCAGCACTGGGTTGTATTTAACCCAGCATTTTTTAGGGTGTATAGTGTTAATAGACCGCCACAGTAAACTCTTTACTTATTGCTGAATTCATTATTGCAGAAATGTACAAAGTATTTTTTTAAACAGAAAATTAAATATTTTGCATATAATATGGAATAATGTAATTACTTTTGGTTTAAAAAGAAGTAGTAAATGATATAGAAATATTACACGATGACAAAGAAAGCCAGAAGTAGTAACACAATTTGTAAAACAGGACAAGTTCTCACTGTAAAACAATTGTAAGTTTTAATATAATCATATTAAAAAATAGTATGACTGAAAAGTACATTCAACAATGTTTGCATGATGTAGGCTACAGCTAAATATGTTAACTAATAGAGGCTATAAGGATGCAATGCTTTAAGCGCATGCAGTCCGGTTTTTCACTATACTAAATAAATGTATTACAGGTTTTAATATGATCTGATACAGGCTTTTGTTAGTTACAGTCTTCAGTGACAGGCTACCAGAGCACAGGTAGATGCATGGTGAGCCTCATTCTATACAATATCGCCCTCTAGTGTACCAATACTATTGAACTGTCACCAACTGAATTTAAAGTGGTCAAACTATTTTAATTATAGGCTTGTGAATTAAGCTAACTAATCATAATGCAGTTTCATCTATCATGTATTCAATTTCAGAGGCGCAGCTCATCATAATGGCATTTTCACTAGTTAGCAGTAAGCCGGTTACCTCACCTGAATGTTCATAGATTTGTTTTGGATGTTTCGACGTGGAAAGCAGTTCTTTGCAAAGGAAATATGGATATTTTATTTGTAAACATCATACTTTTTTCGCTTATTTCAGTTAACGTCATAAAACAAGAGCTAAACCAGTAGTAGTACTGACCGCGTGTCGTATAAACAAGGCGGAAGGCGCAAGACAAACTGATTCAACTTGAGTAATTTACACTGGAACCGCTTCGATTGATTCAAACTCGATTCACTAGCAAAAACCAGATCAAAAGAGCCTTTCAGTTTCGAGTTCGACATCGCTTGTAATGATTTTAAAACACATGTCGTGATGGGTGAAACTGAGATTTTCGAAACTCCGAATTAAACCATTGCGTCGCAAAATTTTTCACTGTTTCGAAGCGCTCCAATCGCGTATCGTGAAATATTTTAATCAAATCGTAAATTTAAAGCGCGTACCGTGAATCATTTTAATCAAATCGTAAATTTAAAGCGCGTATCGTGAATCATTTTAATCAAATTGTAAATTTAAAGCGCGTATCGTGAATCATTTTAATCAAATCGTAAATTTAAAGCGCGTATAACGAATCATTTTAATCAAATCGTAAATTTAAAGCGCGTATCGTGAATCATTTTAATCAAATCGTAAATTTAAAGCGTGTACCGTGAATCATTTTAATCAAATCATAAATTTAAAGCGCGTATCGTGAATTATTTGATTCATATAACTTCAGAGCGGGTTCGCAAGTCATTATACGCGCTCCTAGTCCTGATCTGAAATGATGGGTTCGCGAATCAATTTAGGATCGCATGACACAATCCTTTTTTTCTGATTTCTCTCTTTCTTATTTATTAAACAGTACAGTTTTTTAGTAAGACAGTATACCGTTATAAAAACAAAACTAAGAAAAAAGTAAAGATAAAAAGTAAAAAGATAAAAGACAAAGTAAAAAAAAAATCTGTGACATTTACGGTAAAATACCGGCAGCTGTGGTTGCCAGAACTTCACCGTTAAAAATACGGTAGCAACATTTTAGGTTTTACAGAATTAACTTAAATTCACAATAAAAAAACGTATTTCATTAACTGATGTAATGTTAATAAACCAGCATATTGAAGTACTAATATCTGTTTTGAACCATTGTAATACTGATAACCCCCAAAAACAGGTAGTGATGAGAAAGTCACATGATGAATCAAAGCTCATCACAAACAGCTCTTCCACAAGCTCAAGAGGGAAGTACTTATATATATATACAGAAGGTGCACAGTGTCATTCACACAAACACTAAACCCCATCATGGTAACACACATGATACTGAAATAATGCAATACACATTCATTTAACAACATTAGATGTAAGATTAACCCCTAATGTACACAACTGATAAGAAAAAACTAAGAAGAAACAGTTATTTCAATGAAAAAACAAAATATGAAGTGTCATGCAGGGAATTCTGGGAGTTTTTTTCACTTCAAAAAACCATAATTATTTTACTGTAAAATCACATTAAATGTAATTATAGTTATTCACCATATATAGTATGGAAGCTTACTGATAACCAATTAACAGGTTTTTACTGTAGCATTTTTACAGTCGTTTACTGTTAAAATCACAATACTTTTTTACAGTTTAGGCTATTTAAAGTGTTGTTGTAACCTTTTTTTTTTTTTTTAGTAATGGTGTGACATTTTTGTTCATTAATACCTTCACCTGACAATAAATCAGCCTATGGCCAAGTTTACCATGGTAACCATAATCTTCAGGAAACGATAAACATTATGAAAGCTTTTTTCTCTGTTTGGAGGTAGATCATCACATCTATCACAAGTTTACAGTATACACAATGATGCCTATGACATTTTGGAGGAAACTAGGATGGTTACCGTAGTATTTTTTCCCCTAAAAGCTCTGAAAAACAGTAGCATCATTTAGTAAAGAAATCATGCACAGTTACCTTGCAGATCACATAAAAATGTAAAAGATGTAATTTTAACATCTGGCACATCGGACAACTTGCCAATCCAGATTCACACTAAAATACATGTCATCATATTATCTGCTAGTTAGACAGACGAACAGTCACTGACAAAGGAGGACAGATTGATGTGTTATTCTTTAAAGTGACCATTTACTTAACACTTTTGAATGGGTTTAAGAACTTCTTATAAAATTATTTCAGCATTTTAGAGTAAAAGTCATTAAAACTATGGTGTGGGGGGGGTGGAAAAACACAAAATGTGAAAGAATTAGTGACAAAAAACAAAAATATTTGAGCTTCTGGACTCCAGCTCTTCTTCTTGTCCAAAAAAAATAAATAAATAAAATAAAATAAAGGTGAAGAAATTCATACAAGGCAAAAAAAAAAAAAAAAAATTAAATGTTTAATTACTTAAAATTATAAGAATTATTATTTCCAACTTACCTGGCTTCATTCATTTGTTTAAAAAGAAATTATGCAACAGCTCATTAAAACCCAGCACCGTAAACTTCATTAACAGTACAATGTTGTGGAGCTCAACAGCATTGATTGCATGTACACAAAAAATCTCCCTCAAAATGCATTTTTCCAAAGCATCTTCATGTGTGACTTAATACTCAAATAAATGGGAAGATTGCATGCCTTACAGTGTGTTATTGACATTGCTCTGCTGGTGAATGTGAAGTAGTACCCCATATTTTAATAAAGACAGTAATTGCAATGGCATAGAGTCATATTCGCTTTATTTTTTGGGCAAATGTGTTCTGTGCAGAAGTTTGTCGCCACAGGCAAAATAGCACTTTAGTTTGGACAGAGTACTGATTCACAGTTTCATTTCAGGTATTGCCAATAAAAAAATGTATGTAGAGTCCGAATTTCATTAACATTTGCGCTGCATGATGTTTTTTGGACATAGCTTTATGCCTCCAGTTCATAACGAGGGGTGAGAACCAGAAGGGCGTAAGTGACATTTTGGGCAAAATGGAGATAAATGAAGAGTTAATTTGAAAACGGATAACTCCATTTTTTATTTTTATTTTTTTCACAAATCACGTTTTTGTTTTATTGCGCAAGTAATATCAATCAAACTGCAGTTGGGTTGTTTTGATTAAGTAATGCCTTTAAAGTGGACAAAACTGTCTTTTTTGACAAAACGTGTTTGCATTCTTAATAATTTTAGAGTTATTCATTAGAAACCAAAAGACTTAACACTGAACATACTAAACCAGTTGGTGCCAAAAGAGCGTAAGTGCACTTATGCCCCTTTGGCACTGAGAAATGTATTGCGGCTAAAGCCTGTGGATAGCACTTGTGTCAAAATGGCTGACACCACATGTAAGCCAGGTAGGTCAACCATGAGAAGAAACTAGTTTTTTTTTACTGCTGTAGATGTAATATTAATCTTATTTTGTGACAAAGAGCTGGATGATGAGGGAGAAAATGAAATATCCAGAAGTCATTGTCAGTGAGGTGTAGCTAGCTAGCGGATAGTAACCAACAACATACATTCTGATGGTACGTCCCAAGTGAAAAATAAATATACTAAAATGTATTTGAAATACATTTATTTCATGCTAAGTATACTACAAATGCATTTACATATTTATGTACTTAATAAAAATACCCTGCAATTGTACTTTTAGTATACTAATCTGGTATACTTAAAGTCTGCTAAATTGGAACTATTTTAAATGTTGTGCTTAACGCACTTTAATTGTGCTGAAGTCCAAATAAAAATATACTGACGTTTAAGTGGAATTATTGCAAGTATACTTCAGGTACACTTTAGATATCTTGCATTTAAAGACCATCATAAATAGTGAAATTAAAACACATTTTAGGCTTAATATTGAGAAATGTGCATAGTGCACAAGTAGTAGTCCAAATAAAGTTTCATTATAATTTTTATATCAGCAAGTCTTGAGCAATATGTCAGTAAATATATGAATAGAGTTGAACTATACTTGGTATGAAATAAATATATGACATTTTTTTTACTATGGGTGTTATCCTATAGGCACTCAGTTACTGCTTAGACACAAGTGAAAAATAAATATACTAAAATGTATTTGAAATACATTTATTTCATGCTAAGTATACTACAAATGCATTTACATATTTATGTACTTAATAAAAATACCCTGCAATTGTACTTTTAGTATACTAATCTGGTATACTTAAAGTCTGCTAAATTGGAACTATTTTAAATGTTGTGCTTAACGCACTTTAATTGTGCTGAAGTCCAAATAAAAATATACTGACGTTTAAGTGGAATTATTGCAAGTATACTTCAGGTACACTTTAGATATCTTGCATTTAAAGACCATCATAAATAGTGAAATTAAAACACATTTTAGGCTTAATATTGAGAAATGTACATAGTGCACAAGTAGTAGTCCAAATAAAGTTTCATTATAATTTTTATATCAGCAAGTCTTGAGCAATATGTCAGTAAATATATGAATAGAGTTGAACTATACTTGGTATGAAATAAATATATGACTTTTTTTTACTATGGGTGTTATCCTATAGGCACTCAGTTACTGCTTAGACACAAGAGAAAGAATGCAGAGAAGGGACAGACAGACATAGACAAAGGATAGTACTGGGGAAAGGATACAAGAAATGCAGCGAGTAAAACGTTACACAGATGTCCACCTGGGATCACTGCTGTGAAAAAGAAAGACACAGCTTTACAAGTCAGCCAATCAGAGTAGGCTACCATTTCATGTACAATTCACAATTCCATCTGAAACATTTTTTTACGACACATTCACACTAGTTCAAATCTATTAACATTTTATTTACTGTCTATTTACTGACATGTCACTCGATACTTACTGATATAAAAAAAATTAATTAAACTTTATTTGGCGTACTACTTATGCACATTTCTCAATATTAAGCCTAAAATGTGTTTTAATGTCACTATTGATGAGGACTGTATGCTCTTCGAATAATATCGGTCTTTAAATGCATGATATTTAAATTGTACCTGAAGTATACTTGCAATAGTTTCACTTTTAGCACAATCAAATATACTTCAGCACTACTTTCTTACAATTAAAGTGCATTAAGTACAAAATTAGTTGTTCCAATTTAGCAAACTTTAAGTATACCAGTGTAGTGATACGTAAATAATATGTAAACGTATTTGTAGTATAGCATGAAATAAATGTATTTCAAATAAATTTTTGTATATTTAATTTTCTAATTCTAAGGAAGTCATAAAGGCTTTACAAATCAACCATTTGACCAAATTGTTAAGTGCCTGAGATGACCATTTCAGTCAAATTAATCTAATTTGATGTAAAGGCTTTTTTATGTGATATTTTATTTTATCATAATGGATTGTTATTTCCTTTCAACTCTTTAATGTAATGTTTTGTTCATATTGTCAGCAGATGCGCCCATGTTTTTATACACAAAATTGAATAAAACATCGGTGCCAAAAAGGCGCAAGTGACTTTTTTTAAATAAAAAAAAAATTAGAATTTTTGTTTTTCCTGAATAAATGTTAAAATCGTGTTCAAAAAGTATACCGTTATCCATGCGTGTACACATTTTTTATTATAAAAGATTGAAATCATTACACAAAATCAGATCAAACTATGGTCAATTTTTGTTTTGGCCCTCCTGTAAAGTCGGTGCAATGTCACTTACGCCCTTCTGGTTCTCACCCCTCGACAAGATCTATATATAATCCTGTGAGTGTAAGAGTAACAGCATTCCATGCATCTGAAACATGGGAGAAAAGTACAAAGACTGAAACTAGGAAACCTTTGCTTTTATATAAATACTGAATAATGTGCAAATACAATCCAAGTACCGTCGAAACACTTTCATATATATAATATTGTCCTTTTCAAGACGTGATTTTCAAGCGAAAAGAAACAGAATTCTGTCAAGACATGGCTGAGCAAAATACTCACAATTGCACTAAGAGAAACGGTCCAAAACAGGCCACTGCTACAACTAAAATATTATAAAACTCATTAAAAACCGGACATTTAGATGCTCGTATATGAAATGTAGATGATGCAAACTCAAAGTGCAGTACCTGACATTGGTCCATAGTTCAGTTCAAAAATTAATGGATGAAGCCAACAACACGGTCCTATAAAAATAAAAACTTAGAGAAAGTTATTTTCCCACAGTCACATATTCAAGTCCTTTTGGTTAGCCGATCAGGGTGATTTTTCAAGTGTGACTGGCACCAGTGATCTGTGAAAGCCTTCCTGCCGCCACAGAAGGAGAATGCGAATCATTCTGGCTTTACAGGTCCTGCTTAAGCATACTAGCTGGACTGGCACCATGGGGTCAGGCTGAGGTCACACTCTAGAAAGGTGTTGATGACAGTACATGGAGCTCCGCTGATGGTCACTTCCTGTCTGGACTCCACCTTGTAGCGGAGGTTAGTCAGGCCACCCTCTGGGTCCACCTTAAACTGCTCCTGAAAACGCAGACAGACACGAATCCAAACATTAGGAAAGGGGTCTGCATGACGACAGTGTGTCATGAGAGAGCAGAGATGCAGACAGGTACGTGGGAAAAAAGATGAGAACATTGCGCGGATCGGGGGCATGCTCTTTTAAAGATATTTGCTTTGCATACTCATTTGTAGTTCTTTTTTTTTTTTTAGAAACTTTAACACATTTTTTCAATATACATTGTTCAATATTTATTGTTCAATATACAGAAAGTTCAAAAGAAAGCATTTATTTGAAATAGAAACCTTTCGTAACATCATAAATGTCTTTACTGTCTCTAGTTATGTACCTTGCTAAATATATTAATCTCACTAAACTAGTGGTCGGCCGATATATCGGGCAATATTTGGCATTTTTCAAATATCGGCCGAAAAGTTTTTCTGCTTGGCCGATGTGTTCGAGGCGGGACTTTTATTTTGACGGCGCTGAGAGCAGCAGCGCCTGAGCACACAGTGCTCACGTTCTCCCTCTTGTTCGCCGTCGTCGTTAACAGTTCTGTCTAATACAGATAGAAGTCTGTCTAATAATCAGATAGAACTGTTAAATAAAGGAATTAAAATGTATACAAAAAGTATTATAACGATTGCTTTTATATTATTAGTAATAGAAAGGCAAACATTATAATACTTTCTCATTTGCCGTCAGCATTCAGCAAATATGCATTTACATCATTTAAACAAATCTTTGAATGGCTAATGAAAATGTAATTTCACAAACCTTGCAAACTTAGTCGAATCCAGCTGTGAGATCTTGTGAAGTGTGCGTGTGACCTGCATGATCGCGTGTTCTCTGCGTGACTTTCGGTCCGTGCAAACTGAATGCTTTAAACATTAAATTCGTGATTTCAAATTATGCTGCGCTTTATGCATTTGCCCACGGTCATATTCATGTCATTTTCACTGTGTGCTGTATGTAAAATGAGTGTTACCTTGGCTTTATTTGAACTCTGTTGGTTACAGTTTACTTCCTTTTTAATTATATTTTTAATAAATATTTATGGAAAATACTTTGTCACCTAAACTATAAGTACGTTTATTTTACAAATTTATTTTTTAATCCATTTTCAAATGATTTAAAATTTCTTAAATATTAATTAAAATAAACACAATTATATCGGCTTTATATCGGCCACCCTGCTTTCCAAGATATCGGCATCGGCTGTCAAAAAAATAAACCCCAATATCGGTCGACCACTACACTAAACATCTAACCTATGAAAGGTAGATCAAATATATACTTACTAGACATTTGTCTGATAAATGGCATCAAAAGAATTCAAATAAACAAATTTAAAGAAAGCAAAATTAAACTTTTTTTGAGGTTGGAAAATGTATCACATGATTAATACATAACCATAATGTTGCTGAATGTCATATGAGGTATACATATTTTTAAAGTCCAGATTTTTTTACCTGCTTTTGTGCAGCGATCCGCTTCTGATCTCTCTTCCTCCAGCCTGGATCATGGATGTGTCGAAATGTTTTAGTTCCTGTAGTAATACCCGTTGGCCTAAAAAGCTGGTAAATACAAAATGATCTATGAAATCAGAAATACAGCTAAAGATAACATCTTTTCTTTATTTTTCAAACATTTTCAAGTACCTTAAGATCAGCTGTTTTCAGTCTTCTAAAAAACTCGTCATCTTCTCTTCCCCATCCCCAGAAGCGGTTCGACATCCCATTGCACTTCAGACACACATGACAAGCGATTGTAATTGCGAACGAATTCTCTTCAGAAGCAGTATTCAATACTCACAAGTATTCAGGTTTCTTACCAGCTGATAATGTTTCTTGGAAAGCAGCAGGATTCCTCCAACATACGTCTTATAATGATATAAGGGATGAAGCTCTGGAGAGGCCACATGGAAGGGACCCTCCTTCGGGAATCCATAGTCCAGATCCTCATTTTGAGGCAACAAGTCCACATCATGCATTGCAATGTAGTCGGTGTCATTACCGCTTTCCATAAACCCAACGTTAATAAGAGAGGCCCGATTGAACCTGAAAAGCATGCATACAAACTGTTGTGCAATGGATATGGCTTTCAATAAAAGAACAAATACATACGGGGGAGCCTAAACTATTCCAGCAATGAAAGGTACTCACCGAAAGTGATCCAGCTGGTTTACAATAAATATTTTATGTCGTATTTTCTTTTTGTTGAGGAAAGCATGCATATAAGGGACAAATACAAGCAGCTCTTCAAAGCGCTCTCTGAATGGCACAATGAGGGCCATTTTGTGAGGGCCCCACGATGGGTCATCAGCAGACGACGACTGTCTCTCTACAGGACAGGGCTGGTGAGGGAGGTGACTGGACCCAACCGTCTGGCTCATGCCTCCTGAACAAGTCAGCTGCACCCAAAGAAGAGAGCCCAAAACAAACAGCATGCAGAGCCCAAAGAGCTTCCAGACGGTGCATTTCCTCGACAGAAAACTGGAAACATGAATACATTTGTGTGAAACCTCAAACTGACACAACTGTGTTCAAGCACTAAATAAATGGACCACAACAGTCCCTGCAAACAAAACATCAGTGGTCAATACTTAAAGGCCCCCATACGCTTTAAAAACCCCATTTAAATGCTTGATGCATGAAATTGGCGTATTTCCCTTTAAAACGGGAATTAGAGCTCAAATTCAAATCAGAAGTGAGGTGCAGTCACATTTATCAAACTTTTTTGAGTGCAAAATCCAGTCATTTCAATAGTGATCCAAGCAACTGGGAATTTCGTGGGAGCACAAAAGATTTCCCTATGCAGATTTCACAACAGCTATATGTTGATTCTGCAAATCTGCAGTGCTCTCCAACAGAAAGTTACTTGTTTTCATGTTGCTTCATACATTGCTACAGTTGACAATAGGCCGCCTTTTTCCCATGAAATTCAACTAATGTGACTGTACCTTTAAGCAATATTAGTGGGAGGGACATTCACATTCTAGAGAGCATTTGATTGGACAAAATGAATGAGTGCAAGATGAGTCATCAATACTTTTTTGGTTAGTTTTCCAAGAAGAGAAATACTCTACAATTAATACAAAGTTTTGTATTATTATTACAATAATTTTGCATGTGACTCAAAAGCTAACAGAAATGGCCTAAAAGTAATACAACTAGTTATGATTTCATAGGGTCTTTGAAGTACATTACAAAAAGCTTACAATACGAGTTTTAGTGAGCCAGTTGATCAAAATGAATTAGCATAAGCAACTTACAATATACAACTGCAAGCATTACCTACACTGGTTGACAAACGTATTGTTGATCCTCAGGGACCTCATGCATCTTGCTCAATCAGACTTAACCCTATAAAGCCTAAGGTATCATATTTGATACATGAATTTCTAAGGCCTATAAAAGTACCAAAATGATTACAACTTTGCTTAAAAACCTGTAGTACACAATCTACTATACCCTTTCTGTTATCTGACTGATAGTTTATACATTTTAAGCCAATAAATGGCCTTTTTGCTGCAAAATCTTTACTGATTTTTTTTGTAAGAATTACATACAGGCCTATTGTTAATAATATTTCAAGATGAACATTTACCGGACTGATGCAAATGACGTTTGCTTGACTATCTAGAAATTTTTTTTATTAAATATGAGCAGTGTTGGGGAAAGTTACTTTTAAAAGTAATGCGTTAAGGCCCATTCACACCAAGCAAGATAACTATAAAGATAACGATAATGATATAGTTCTAAAAATCGTTCTCAATATTAAAGAATAGCATAGTTCACACCACAACTATAACGATAACGATACAGAGGAACGATATCGTTGTGATCACTTTCAAAACGATTTTTTTCCAGCTGATGAACGATAAAACACTGACAGCCAATCAGAATCCATCCTGCTGTAACGAGCTCAAGAATTTAAAGCGGCAGACGCGCGTGCGCTTAGAATAAACAGACGATATCGTTCGCTGGTGTGGACGCTAATATCGTTATCTTTATAGTATCGTTCTTGGTGTGAACGGGGCTTTACAATATTGCGTTTCCCCCTAAAAAAGTAACTAATTACGTTACTTAGTTACTTTTTATGGAAAGTAATGCGTTACGTTACTTTTGCGTTACTTTTTAAATCTGGACAGGGCTTGCTTGTTTCGTCTTAAAATAAAAAAAGTTATATTTTTGGCAAATATAAAAGCCTTTTCACACCAAAAGTGAAATGAATAAGCCTCAGGCTGAAGGAAAGTAAATGTACGTCTGTACAGTAGAATGCAGAAGAAGACATTTCAACACACTTCAGCAGTAAACAAAGACAAGTGTTTGTCTAGAATAATTAGTGCTTATTAGTACGCTTGAACTGGATCATCGAAGCTCAGAAGCAAATAGAATGGGATTAAATACATAAAGCATATTTGTGTTGTTTAACATTTAATTGCAGGTTTGCGTCATATTCTGAGTTGCATTATTTTTATTCATTTTGAGGAATACTGAAAAAGTGTGTTTTTTGTGAGTGAGATGAATTAATGCATATTCATATTTATTTTAGAGCTACAGTAACATCTGATTTCTCTCAACATGAGGACAGGAGAGCTGACAGTCAATACATTGCAAAAAAAAGTAACTAGCGTTACTTATTTGAAAAAGTAACTCAGATATTCTCTTGTAAATTAAAAAGTAATGCGTTACTTTACTAGTTACTTGAAAAAAGTAATCTGATTACGTAACTTGCGTCACCCACAACACTGAACATGAGTATCAAAACTGCCTGATGCATCATATTTAAAGGAACATGTAATTGTTAAGCTCTTAATCATCATTAGTTTGCATTGCAAGTTGTGTTGAGCTCCATATTCTCACTGTATCATACTATATGAGCCATAAAAGCCTGATGCATCAAACATTAACGTTTAAGATTTTCTTTCATATTTTGTCTAAAGGTCCAATAAGCAGGTCCTCTGGGAATGATTTATTCTGCCTATTATTGCACATGTCAGGCTTTCCAGGGTTAAAACTCTCTACACACTTCTCAACACATGCCTCATACTCACTGAAGCCCTCCATGTCGCTGCACCCTTTGACTTTCACTTCTTCAAATGATGAAACACATTAAACGACAACTACTAGCAAGCTAAAATAGCAATGCATCTATCGGAATAAGATTATATCGACATAAAACACACACCAGAGTGGCCGCACGTTCATATGCATGCTATGCCTGAAGCGTTTACCTTCGGTCATCTTTGAAATACAGCACAGGTTTTCTCCGTGAGGAGTACATCATCTCTGAGCCTCTCAGAGCAGCGCTGTGGCACGCGAGCAGGTCGAGTATTTCACTGACACAGCCTCGAGCTTGAGCTCATGTCATCTACATGTTAAACTCTCATTCCTAGTTTGCAACAGCGTCTTTCGTCTCTTTCCAGCACAAATGACTCGCGGCTTTAAATCCCATTCTTCCTAGCGGCCGGCTTGAATGATTTCTCTCATTGTAGGTACTCTATCCTGCGTAAAGCGCAGTCATAAACATATTTCATGATGTTATGATTAGAAAATGTGGTGCGTTCAGGTACACGTCACTCATGACGGTCCGACAAAAAACACAAGCGCACGAGCTCGCGGTAATGTTTTACGGTTAACACATTCGTCTGAATTACTTAGACGTGTTTTACATGCCTCAGAAATACTATATGGTTTCCGCTTGTTTTATACGGCGCGTCATTGTCGGTAACCGTTAAAAAACTTAAGTGACAACCGTGACAAAATAAATAAAACCACACGCTGGCTGCAACCGTCCGTCTCTGAGATATTCCTCTGGAAACAACGTACGAAATAAAGTTCCTATGATTTTTCTGACCGGTACAATTAATTTAGAGACATAATCAGAAATATTTGAATACCGTTATATGCATAAAGCATAGGTAACCAAAGAACAGTGATACAAAAAAATGTACAGATATATGACTAACTAACGAGCAGCTGTGATGGAAAATTCAACTCTTTTCTGAGAATCGGTTCTTTAGAACAGTTCGTTTTAATGAACCGGTTAAAACGATTCAGTGACTCTTTAACGCTAACGCATGATTCGACATTCCAATAGAATATCACACGCTCCATTAAAGCTTCACGGTACGCACAAAGCACTGTTAATTATGTTCATTACGCAAGCTAAGTGTTTACTTTAGTTATTCGTGTCCTGCGTTCAGTGTGTTGCAATCTTCATTTAGCTCATAAACGTTATTTAGAACCTAGATAAACGATGTATTTACATGAAACAAAATATTTACATGTATTAGCTGAAACAAAATACGTTTCGCAGGTTTTAATAAAACAGTTTTGCAGACCGCTTAACCGATTCACTGAAAAGATCCGAACCAAAGAAAGATTCGATCACGAATCGGACGTGGTTAACAGCTGTAGATGGTCTAGTAAATAAAATATCATACATCCAATTACATTTTTAAAGTTCTGAATAGTTGAAATCGTTAAATAGATCTATGCCATGATTCGACATTCCAATAGAATATCACACGCTCCATTAAAGCTTCACGGTACGCACAAAGCACTGTTAATTATGTTCATTACGCAAGCTAAGTGTTTACTTTAGTTATTCGTGTCCTGCGTTCAGTGTGTTGCAATCTTCATTTAGCTCATAAACGTTATTTAGAACCTAGATAAACGATGTATTTACATGAAACAAAATATTTACATGTATTAGCTGAAACAAAATACGTTTCGCAGGTTTTAATAAAACAGTTTTGCAGACCGCTTAACCGATTCACTGAAAAGATCCGAACCAAAGAAAGATTCGATCACGAATCGGACGTGGTTAACAGCTGTAGATGGTCTAGTAAATAAAACATCATACATCCAATTACATTTTTAAAGTTCTGAATAGTTGAAATCGTTAAATAGATCTATGTAATGAAAATGACATTAGTTAATTTTGCGGAAATGTGAAGTTTTGCTCTCCTCTAGTAAATTAATTCCTCAAATCTTGAAGAAGTTGTTTGACCAAGTAATTATGAAGACACCTAAGCCAATGTTGGGGAGAGTGGGAAACTTTATTTCTGAGTGCAATTATAGGGTAGATTTCTCGCCAACAAATTTTCCTTCCCCCGCCCCTACTTAAAAAATAACCCCATTTCCCAGTGGCTGTTCACAAACTAAAATGACCAAAAACAAAACAAAAAAGTTCAACCATACAAATGTGATGGCAAAGCATTTCAGTGAGCGGTAATCTATGCGTAACAAAACAACATGCAGTCTTGTTTTTTTGGAAAGAAAACACAACATAATGACACCAGCTATGGTATCTGAAAAAGCGAGCAAATCACAAATATCGTTTTTACAGTGTATTCTGGGCAGATCAATTTAAGAGTGAATAAACCACTGAAATCTCTACATCAACCTGAGGATTCTACAATAGAAAAAAAGATGTGAAAAATATGATAATGTCTGTGTAAGACGGCTTTCAAAGGAAACAGAAAAACTCTTGATAGCTAATGGGTATTCATTAAAAATATAAAACCTTTTGATAGCATTTATTTCAATGTGTCAAGTACTCATAATTAAACATTTCACCCTTTGATAACTACATTTTGCCATTTATTTGGACATATACATTTCAAACATGTACACGGTTATTCAAAATCACTGAGGTCGGCATCAAACTGTAGCTATCAAAAGGGAAGGCGGCCTGATTCTAACATGATCCGAGTGTTCTTGACAGCAAAAAAATATAAAATTGGGGGTATAGAAAAGAAAACATCAACCAACTGTATAAAGAATACAAATTTAAACGCCAAGAAACATTCACTCTGAGCAAAACTTTAAATATCATACTAATTACTGCACAACCAAACAACAGAACACATTTACACCTGCCACCAGGATAAACTCGGTTATTTTTGTCTTGTAAATGTTTAAGCAAATAATCCAAGGTCATTTAGGAAAAACGTCATACTTGCAGCCCAGTTAATAGTTAATGTCTTCATCAGCTTTCTGAAACAAATGATAAGGCAACCACTATGCAATTTGTGTTTTGAATCCAGTTAACTGCTTTTGTTGAGTGCCTATCACCTCCAAACAGTAACAAACTGTAATGTGTTTCTGGACAGAAACTAGGTTCACATTACATGGGGTGTGGCACTGAAACGAGCAGCGTAAGACAAATCTCAATGCAGGATAAAAGAGGGCAATTTAGGGAGGGAACTAAACTGAGAGCATGTTGACTTTTCAGCAGCCTTGACCACACATGAAGCAGGCAATCTTCAAAATGCTGCGTGTACTGTATCAACTGACAATCATCACAACTTAATAAAAAAAATCGGACTACAGTTCTATACTAATTTCTTGGCCTCAAAGAAGCTCTTCAGATGTCTCATTTGCCAAAACCCAATGGCCACCAGGATCAGCGTCTGGACGATAGACCACCACAGGACCCTCTGATTGGTGCTCTCGCTGGTCTGTCTGAAGCGCTCCTCGCGATACTGGAAGGAGAAGAAAATTCAGATTAGGATCATTCGTGCACACATATGACAGAAATACCATGTTTTATCACTGGTTCTGTATAACCTCAACCCCACAGAGCACTTACCCTCTGATAGTTCTGCTCTTTCTGGACCTGATCCACCTGCTCCATCAGCTGTCGCACCCTCAGCTGCAGCTCCGTCAGCTTGTCCTTGGCAGCGATTTCTGCATAGTTGTTTGTATGCTCACCAACTTGGATGTCCAAGTGAACACGCTGTATCAAAGATTCAAAAGCAAAAGCTGTCTGAATAGGTAGCCACTGAACATTAGATGGTGCTCTACACAATAAAAAAGAAAAATTATATTTGTGACCCTGGACCACAAGACCAGTCTTAAGTCGTTGGGGTATATTTGTAGCACTAGCCAAAAAAACATTGTATGGATCAAAATTATAGATTTTTCTTTTATGCCAAAAATCATTAGGATATCAAGTCAAGATCGACTCAGTTTTATCTGTGACATGGACAGGAAAAGCGATATAAATCGCTACATGAACCTTTTTTTCATATAAACTGGAATAAATACAAAACTAGAGCCAAACTAAAACTGAAATGAGACGCACCTTTATAGCACTTTTGCTTGTACTAATAGATTTTTTAGAATAGCTTTTTCGTAGAATCTTCTCTGACAGACAATCAAAATGGCAACGTCCTACAATTGGTCTTCAGATGAAGATAACAGTCAACCAAAAGGTCAATGATTTGCACCCAGATGTGACCGAACAATTACTGCATACAGTATTTCACCCATTCGGACCCACCCGTTCTGTACAAGTGTGCAGAGACTCGAGGCTATGGTTTTGTGACCTTTGAACAGCGTCATTTAGCAGAAAATTCTCTAGTGGCTCTGAATTTTTTGGAGATCTTGGGCAAACCAATGCGCATCACACGGGCCCAGAACATGACTTAAGATCCTGGCAAGACACAGGGATAGGTTTGCCAAATATGATGTCCTCTTTGGGGAACTGCAGCCGCGCAGAGAGGTCTGTGACGGGAACAGCAAACCTAAAGACAAAGAACAGACTGAGCCCAGAGAGAACAGCTCTGATGAACCAAGGTCACTGCTTGTGAGTAATCTGCACTCAGACGTGACCGAACAAGAGCTGCATGCAGTATTCCTCCCATTCGGCCCCATCTGTACTGTACAAGTGTGCAGAGACAGAAGAACCAACCACTCTCGTGGCTATGCTTCTGTGACCTTTGAATGCCGCCATGATGCAGAAAATGCCCTAGCGACTTTTCAGAGCTCATGAGCGAACTGATGTTTATCATGTGGGGCCAAGACATGATCATTAAGGTCCTGGCAAAGCTCAGTGAAAACAGCTCTCATGATCAGCTCTCAGCTCCAGTGACAGGCAAGAAATAGCCCGGACTGAACCCACTGAGCAGTCACAGGGAAGAAGGCTGGCGAATACTGTAAAAAGTTATTTTACAACAGTCATGAGCAGCCCAGATACCTTGCTTGGCATCGGCCTGTTGGCTCTAGCACGCACTGAGTGCTTTATTAGAAGCCTACAATTATACAGCTCTAACATGGCACTTTCTGCCATCAAAAAACAGGACAGAGCCTATCAATAACAAGTGCTGCTAATGCTGGGAAAACAGCAGTCCAAAACAGTGAATCTAATCACCATATAGGCAAGAAAGAAGAAAGGGGTGATTCTTCAGTCTACCTACACAGTGATTAGTGGCCTCTGTACATACAGTGGGTACGGAAACTATTCAGACCCCCTTAAATTTTTCACTCTTTGTTATATTGCAGCCATTTGCTAAAATCATTTAAGTAAATTTTTTTTCCTCATTAATGTACACACAGCACCCCATATTGACAGAAAAACACAGAATTGTTGACATTTTTGCAGATTTATTAAAAAAGAAAAACTGAAATATCACATGGTCCTAAGTATTCAGACCCTTTGCTCAGTATTTAGTAGAAGCACCCTTTTGATCTAATACAGCCATGAGTCTTTTTGGGAAAGATGCAACAAGTTTTTCACTCCTGGATTTGGGGATCCTCTGCCATTCCTCCTTGCAGATCCTCTCCAGTTCTGTCAGGTTGGATGGTAAACGTTGGTGGACAGCCATTTTTAGGTCTCTCCAGAGATGCTCAATTGGGTTTAAGTCAGGGCTCTGGCTGGGCCATTCAAGAACAGTCACAGAGTTGTTGTGAAGCCACTCCTTTGTTATTTTAGCTGTGTGCTTAGGGTCATTGTCTTGTTGGAAGGTAAACCTTTGGCCCAGTCTGAGGTCCTGAGCACTCTGGAGAAGGTTTTCGTCCAGGATATCCCTGTGCTTGGCCGCATTCCTCTTTCCCTTGATTGCAACCAGTCGTCCTGTCCCTGCAGCTGAAAAAACCCCCCACAGCATGATGCTGCCACCACCATGCTTCACTGTTGGGACTGTATTGGACAGGTGATGAGCAGTGCCTGGTTTTCTCCACACATACCGCTTAGAATTAAGGCCAAAAAGTTCTATCTTGGCCTCATCCGACCAGAGAATCTTATTTCTCACCATCTTGGAGTCCTTCAGGTGTTTTTTCATGTGTCTTGCACTGAGGAGAGGCTTCCGTCGGGCCACTCTGCCATAGAGCCCCGACTGGTGGAGGGCTGCAGTGATGGTTGACCTTCTGCAACTTTCTCCCATCTCCTGACTGCATCTCTGGAGCTCAGCCACAGTGATCTTTGGGTTCTTCTTTACCTCTCTCACCAAGGCTCTTCTCCCCCGATAGCTCAGTTTGGCCGGACGGGCAGCTCTAGGAAGGGGTCTGGTCGTGCCAAATGTCTTCCATTTAAGGATTATGGAGGCCACTGTGCTCTTGGGAACCTTAAGTGCAGCAGAATTTTTTTTGTAACCTTGGCCAGATCTGTGCTTTGCCACAATTCTGTCTCTGAGCTCTTCAGGCAGTTCCTTTGACCTCATGATTCTCATTTGCTCTGACATGCACTGTGAGCTGTAAGGTCTTATATAGACAGGTGTGTGGCTTTCCTAATCAAGTCCAATCAGTATAATCAAACACAGCTGGACTCAAATGAAGGTGTAGAACCATCTCAAGGATGATCAGAAGAAATGGACAGCACCTGAGTTAAATATATGAGTGTCACAGCAAAGGGTCTGAATACTTAGGACCATGTGATATTTCAGTTTTTCTTTTTTAATAAATCTGCAAAAATGTCAACAATTCTGTGTTTTTCTGTCAATATGGGGTGCTGTGTGTACATTAATGAGGAAAAAAAATTAACTTAAATGATTTTAGCAAATGGCTGCAATATAACAAAGAGTGAAAAATTTAAGGGGGTCTGAATACTTTCCGTACCCACTGTATACCTAACCATTCCCTTGTGCATAATAAATAAATACAGATAGATAGATGAAAACCAGGCTGAGTGATACAATCCATACAGTCCATGATTTTTACAGCTGATGATTTTTCAACACCACTAGATTGTTCTGACTGAATCTGATGCTATCAAATTAGTAATAAATGCTTATGTACAAGATATTTAAACCGTTTCATATTTCTGTGCACAAAAGCATTTTTTGGGACGAGACTCTGAAACGTCTTGATAAACATATCATGATGCTGCTTCACAGTGTGCAGCTGCAGACAGTGACAAAACTATATGAATATGTACCTGTCGTGAATCCTGACCATATTGTTGTACAAAAAAAATTGTTAGTTACACATTTTTATTATTAATTATTTTTGAACACTAGTGGTTTAATATGAATATGGCATAAATTGGGTCCTAATAATTAAGGGCAAAATAATAAGAAAAAAAAACTGTTCAACTGTTAAAAACTGAAAAAAGCAAAAATATTTGACTAGTTAACTGTTGTAACTGCTTTATTTTCTCACCAAAAGCATCATTTTACAGTCACTGCCCATTTAAATGTGAACTTCTTTCAGAAACAACTGTAAATTAGTGCATTGCAATAACTTCTTACAGAGGCGCAAAAAATAGCAAACTTAACAGAAAGATGTAAGAAAAACAACTCAACTCACACAAGGCTGAACTCGTTACCCTGCAGTAATAAAACAAACGAAAAGGTATTTTTGGTTCAATATTTTCAACTCCTATGGTTAAAAAAAACAAGGCTCAATCATTACGCCATAGAGCAAAGGGACTACGGCAGCAACTTAAAATATTTACATTGATTTGACCGATTTAAGAGGACACTTTTCATCAGTCTGATTTCTTGTGCAGTCCATTAAAATCCTCTTAAGTAAATCACACAGGTTATAAAAAAATAAATCAGCACTCCAGAGCAGAACGAAGCAATGTGTAGATGGAAAAGAAACACAGATAAAGGGTTGAAACAAGAAGAAAATAAACCACCAAGGATTTAGAGAATTAAGCTAAATCAAGTATATAAAGCGTACACACAAAAATGAAGATGTACTACTGTAGAACGCATTGAAAATGTGTAATTTACCTCGGCTAGACCCAAATCAAGACCAACATGAAGAAACGTTTCTTTGAAGCCACAAATCCCACTCTTTAGACTCAAACCATTTTTCCTTCCAGTCGAGCAGTTCAATAATATCCACATGTATACAGCTGTTCAAAATTCACATTAATGTTTTTTTTTTTCACCTACAATCTCCAGAGTTCTTTGAAATCCTGTTGTTTAGTAGAACCTCTTGTTCCTCTCTTGACGCTTCTGAAAGACTACGGCACCAACAACGGCGCAAACCACGATTCCCAGCAGAGCGCACAGCAGAAGCAGGAATACCTTCCAGCCAGTGAGGGGCGTGCTTCGGAAATTTCCCGTCGGATCATCAATATTGTCTGTTTTGGGGGAGAACATGTGAACATGACAAGCGATTGAATGAAAAATCTTTCTGTCTGCCAACAATGTCTATAATTACATATCAGCTGTGTTACCTTTCGGTGACTTGAGGAGACTGACACTAGGCTCGATCTTCGTCCAGTCCTGGTTGTCCTCCTCAGGAGTGTGTTCCACCATCAGCTGGTACATCTTCATAGAGATGATGTCGTGATTATCTGCACAGAGCAAACAGTATCAGTGAGGTCTGGTAAAAGGCATCAGGATTAGGGTTGGGTACCGGTATCGGTACCTTTTTTCGGTACTTTACTCTCTGTGTAATTACAAAAACATTTATTTCAGTGAAAAAATAAGTCCAAAAGTCTAAATTTCAACATTTTGAACAATAGGGCCCTACAAACTTTTTCTTTCTTTCTTTTTTTCCAGAAATTCTTGTTTTATTTTTTCTGAAAATGAA